ATTTTATCAAAATTTAAAACTTCTGCTCTAAAAACAAAACAAAACACAAAAAAAACACCATTAAGAGTCACAAACCGGGAGAAAATATTTGAAAATCATTTATCTGATGAAGGATTTGTACCCAGAATACATGGAGAACTTTGAAAACTCAATAATAAGAAAACAACCCAATAAAAATGCATAAAGGATTCGAACAGACACTTCTCTAAAGAAGAGAGATAAATTGTAAATAAACACACACAAAAATACTCAACATCATTAGTCATTTAAAAAATGCAAATTAAAACCAAAATGAGATACCACTGCATACCTGTTACATGGCTAAATAAGAAGATGGACCGTAGCCAAGTATTGGCAAGATGTAGAGGAACTGGAACTCTCCTCTAAAGCTGGTGGGAATACAAAATGGCACCACCACTTTGGGAAACAATTTGTCAGTTTCTTTAAAAGAAAAAGGGAGGATCCGGGCATTTCACTCCTATGTATTTACCCAAGAGGAATAAAAGCCGTTTAATGTCCTTTCAAAGGTTTGTACGTGAATGTTCAGAGCTCTACTTGTAATCGCCTAAAACAGGAAACAACTCAAATGTCCACACCACTCCGTGATGACAAGGAATGAATTCTTGCTACACAATAATGTACAATATGGATGAATCTCGAAATAATTATGCTGAGTGAAAGAAGCCAAAAACAAACCAAAAAAAAACCCCACCATATTGTTTAATCCCATTTACATAAAATTCTAGGATATGCAAACTAACATGAAGTGACAGAGAGCAGAATGGTGGTTTTGTGAGGGTGGGAAAGAAGAATTACAAAAGGCATGAAAAAAAAACACAAATAAATCAAACAACCCATTCAAAAGAAAGAAGCCACCCTGGATTCCACAAGCACTTTACCTGAATGGAACTAGTGGCTTTTTTTTGAGACTAGAGGCCCGATGCACAAAATTCGTGCAAGAGTAGGCCTCCCTTCCCCTGGCTGCTGGCACCGGCTTCCCTCGCAGCCCGGGCTTCGTCAGGAAGGACATCTGGTCTAATTACCATATTACACTTTTATTATTATAGATAAGCTGAGGTCTGGCTGTAGTGTGCACACTTTCTCTAAATATTTTCCCTTGTGTTATTTTTAAGATAACACAGGATTAAATAGTGCTCACTAATATATTGTGACAACTGGCAAGCACACAGAGGTAAACGTGAGAGAAAGCCATTCACACTTCCAGGGCACCTTGCTGACACCCAACAAGCAGCTACAGAGGCAGAAAGCGTCGCAAGAAACACAGTGACAGCTTTGTAAGAACCCCGAAATGGCACACAACAACAAAATGTTTCTGGAACTCTTATTCATGTTTCCATATAAGAAATTCTAAGATGTCTATGCCGTAACCGGTTTGGCTCAGTGGATAGAGCGTCGGCCTGTGGACTGAAAGGTCCCAGGTTCGATCCCGGTCAATGGCATGTACCTTGGTTGCGGGCACATCCCCAGTGGGAGGTGTGCAGGAGGCAGCTGATCGATGTTTCTAACTCTCTGTCCCTCTCCCTTCCTCTCTGTAAAAAATCAATAAAATATATTTTAAAAAAAATCCTAAGATGTCTATGAAAGGAACATGTTGCATCTCGTGTTAAACATTTTTACATCCGAGTTTCACATGTACATTTACCATGTAATAGCACTGAAGCCACGTCACAGGGGAAATGTGGACGGTATGTTCTCTATAAATCCATTTATCCGCACATTTGCTCCCATTCCTTCCACCCATTTATCTTTTTCAAGTTGCCACGCACAAACCTGGGAATAACCACCACCCATGCCAAACGGTGGGAATATGGTAACTGGTGTCTGATCATGGGAAATGGCACTTTTAAATATTCACTTTCCACTTTATAATACATATTTATTTCTTTTTTAAATATGTTTTTATTTATTTTGGATAGAGAGATAGAAACATCAATGAGAAACATCATTAACCATGTATATGCTACTTTAACTCCTAGATTTTAAAAGAGAGAACGCAATGTATGTGGAATAGGGACCACTGGCAAGCATTAATTCATCAAAGCTCTGCACTGGTTTAAAAAAAATTGCAATCCATTAGGTCAAGTGTCCTTTATGAAACAAATAATCTTAACATAGAAGGCCTAGCTAAAGGTCACTATCAATCTGTCTGCCAAAATGACTTCCTGGTTAATATGTGTAAAGACTGAGTTTTTGAAATATCATATAATAGTAATAAGTCTACAGGAAAAGAAATGATTCTTTGCTGTACTGAGAAACACACACCATGTGTATCATCCATGTATGAGTTGTTGGTGCCACTTTATAGAAAGTAGTAACAGGTGAAGGAACCAATCTGGGACATTCACATATTGTTTCTTACAAGCTCATAATACTGAAAACAACACAAGAAATCTGTTCAGTTTGGTCTCTACCCATTCGGTAGACCTGAGCCACGCCGTCGCACTAAATGGGTGGCTCATTGTCGCTGCCTCCCCCAACCAACTCCACACAAAGTTAAAAAGGAGAGACTCAAGCAAGAGCAAGTGTCACTCCTGTTGCCCAGTGACACTGATGGCTGCTTCAATTACTAGCAAGCAGGTATTTGCAGGACCGTTTTCTCAAGGCTGCTAAAATGCAAGAGAAAAGTTATCTTGGGAAAGCAATGACCCTGATGTCTATGCTAAAGGACCCTCACATGTGTGCAAAGATGCAAGAGCAGCTGTGTTCATGATAAAGAGAAGTCAGGCCCAGCTGGCATGGCTCAGTGGTTGAGCATCGACCTAGGAACCAGGAGGTCATGGTTCGATTCCCAGTCAGGCCATGTGCCTGGGTTGCGGGCTTAATCCCCAGTTTGGGCCCTGCAGGAGGCAACCGATCAATGAGTCTCTCTCATCATTAATGTTTCTATCTCTCCCTCCCTCTCCCTTCCTCTCTGAAATCAATAGAAATATTTTTTAAAAAGAAAAATCAGAAACAACCTAGGTAGTCAGCAATAGGGGATTTTGTAAAAACTCTGCTACTTCACCCACTGGACTAGAACGCAGCAGTTAAAAGGAATAGGGAATCATAGGGCTGGACCTTCCGATGCTTTGTAGACTTAAAAAAAAAAAAAAGCCTGCCTGATGTTGGCTCGATGGTTGAGCATCAACCCATGTACCAGGAGGTCAGGGTTCAGTTCCTCGTCAGGGCATATGCCTGGGTCGTGGGCTCACTCCCCAGCAAGGGGTGTGCAGGAGGCGTGTTGATGTATCTCTCTCATTGATGTTTCTATTTCTCTCTCCTCTTCCTCTCCTTTCTTCTCTCTCTAAAATCAATAAAAACATATTTTTTTTAAAGACATCAAAAAACATGTACAATATAATACCATTTGTGGGGAGAAATATCTCACCCAAGACACTACATTCCCTTTGTATAAACATGTATCAACAGAAAAGCAAAGAAAAATAAATGGAAAAATCCAAAATAAACCGATAATATGGTCACTTTGAAAAGGAGGGAGGAGTAGGGGGAAGTGAGAGCTGGGAGAATAGGAATGCTCTGCTAAATGCAGATCCAATAATAAGAGAAACAGCAGTTTTATTCTCTGTCACTGTCTACTGCTTTTTATATACATAAGATAACTGTCAACTCTGCCTGCCAATTTGTATCTCAGATCTGGTTGACCTTTTAAAGTTTATCTGAAAATACAAAAGGGAAAAAAGAAAGAACTAAAAACTGCATTATTCCTAGCTGCCAACTTGATCTCATTCTGGCTCCAGAATGAGCCAATGAGAGCACACTTTCCAAAGTTGAAGGTTCTGAGATTGAGTTGTTGAGGAGATACCGGGCATTCTGTACAACTGTCATTTTTCTGCAGGAAAATTTACTTTTCATCTTAACATTTTATGTACAGTCGGCATGATCTGTTAAGAGTGTTAAAACAATCATTAAATCTCTTTCTAAGCGGAGAGACCTTTGCTTCTTCTGAATTTTGTCACAGTAGTTACACAGGCTACATGTCTTGCTTCACACCTTACCTTGGGGAGTCCTGCGGGGGGCCCACATGATTCCTACATGTGACAGGGATCGGGGCTTGGATAGAGAGCCAAGGGAGGCGAACACAGTTACCACGAATATTCCAGCTACTCTCCCATTGAAAACAGGGGAAACTCACATAATGAAATGCTAAAGAAATGAATTGATAATTCAAGACTCATTGGCACCAGCAACAAACAACTGAAATATTAATGGACAGGAGGACTCAGCAGAGTTAAGACAGCAACTTTCCCAATGCAATCCCAATCTATAGATTCAGTGCAATCCCAATCTATAGATTCAGTGCAATCCCAATCAAAATCCCAGCCGGCATTTCATAGAACTGATGAGCTGATTCTAAGAATTATACAGAAATGCAAAGGACTAGAACAGGCAAAACAATTTTATAAAAGAAGGACAAAGTTGGAAGATTTACAATACTTGATTTCAGTACTCCCCATAAAATACAATAGTCAAGACTATGTGATAATTGGCATAAAAACGGGCATACACATCAATGGAAACCAACACAAACTCCAGAAACACATCACACGTAAACAGTCAACTGAATTTTAACAAATGTACCACAGCAATTCCATGAGAAGAGGACAATCATTGCAATAAATGGTGCTGGATATCCGTATGGGGAAAATTTAACAGCAAGCCCTACTTCACACCACACACAAAAGTTAACTCAAAACAGATCGCAGATCAAAACATAAAAGCTAAAATAATCAAAATTCTAGGAGAAAACCTTCGTGACCTAGGTAGACAGAGATTTCTTAGAAAGGACACAAAAAGCCCAAGAGGAAAACAGTGATAAATTGGACTTCATCAAAATTTAAAACTTCAGCAGTTTGAAAGAAACCATTAAGAAGAAAACAAATAGGCAAGCCACAGAGAAGGAGAAAAATATTCACAATACATCTGACAAAAGCCTTGTATCCAGAATATCCAACAAACTGCAATACTTTTTAGGGACCTACCCTGTGCAAGCATCACTCTAAGACGCTGGAGTCAAGACATGCAGCTCCTCCATCCAGGTGTCCAAGATCTGTGGCCTCGCAGGGCTCCTTACCCTGTAAGATAAGTAGGGTCAGAACTCCCAGCACCTGTGCTCTCTACTTTAGGACTCACAGAGAGTTAGAGAATGAGCCTCCCTCAGGGCCCCCCAGACCCTGCATACCTTCGGCATCCCACCTGCCCATCCAGGTGCAACTGCACCTTTATCATTCAGCTCCCTCCATCCCCTCAGAAGACAAAGCTGATAAAAGTGCCTGTTAGACTCGCATTTCACCTGCCAGTTAGTTCTGGGTTCAGCTCATGCAATGTTCTCTCGTTTGCTAATTTCTTTTCACTTTTTATAAGCCCCTGTCACTTCTGCGCAATCATTTCAACAGTGCGGTGAACACCAAAGAAAGGAGGGGACAGTAGAACCAATTTTATCAACTAGTCAGAAGCAGCGCTCAGTAACGCATATTTTAAATAGTAGTATTTCTTCTTTTTCATTAGAGAGCTGCAGTGAGGTTTGCATGCTGATCTCAATCACCCCAGGTGCAGTGTCTCAGGGCTCCTGTCTGAGGGTAAATGTCAGGGCCTTCCCCACTCAACTGCCCAAACCTTGACATTTAAAGCAACTTGGTGAGCACAACTTCCTGGTATTTTTAAGTTTCCTGTTTGCCGACATAGCTGCCTGGTGGGCTGTGGACGTTTTTAACGTCTCCCTATACCCTACCAGCATCACTGGTGCCAGGCGGCCAAGACACATGCAGCAGAATGCTCTGTGCAGCAAAAAAGCTGCGGACAACCCAAGGCCTAACTCCCAGAAACTGATTAAATCAACTGTGATAAAGCCACTCACTAGAAAACCATGCAGCTACCAAAGAGCATAAAGGTAACGTGCTCATGCACAGTATATTACAGTATATACTGCTACTAGTATGTGTATAATTTACTATACAATATTGTATTATTCACATTAACGAATAGAATGGAATTATATTTCATAATATATGCTATGATTTATTGTGATTATATTGTATTATGCACTACAAGCCATTGTATGTTAACACATCAGACATTAATTCATGAAAAATCAGAGTGCAGAGAACTGTAAAATCATCCCATTTGGCTAAAAATAAAGGGGCACGTTTGAATACATAAACAGAAACATGCTTGGGACTCAGCCTGTCGCGCGCACAGCGTGGCCTGGAGGCCTTGTGGGAACCCAAGTTGCTGGGCTGCAGGTCCGGGCGAGCGGGAGAAAGCGCGCTTCTAACGAGCCGCCAGGTGATGCTGCGGGTCCCCGGGCCACACAGGCAACCGGGGGGTAGGGGAGTTTGGGCTTTCAATTTCAGAAGCTTTCGTTCCATTAGCAACACGGCAGCGCGCCTGCTCGGTGCAGGGCAGCCGCGGACGGACCGGGGGTCGTAGTAAGAACTGCCACCATACCTCCGCCTCCGGGGTGCCTCGCCCTGGCGGGGAAACTGAGGCTCCGAGGCCGGTCGTCCGAGGTCGCGGAGAGACTGCCAGAGCTGGGTTTCGAACCCCAGGCTCTGAGACGCCGGCGAGCGGGAGTCCCGCCTGCTCCCGGGTTCCAGACACGCCTCCGGACCAGGCCGTGGGGTCTCCGGAGACACAGCCCCGGGCGTGCGGGGGAGGGG